TTACTCATTACTACTTTCAATCTAAAGAGCTGACAAGAAAGATGAAACTATTCATTTCCTACGTGTAATACACAACAGACCCTATCAGGGATTGATTGCAGTGTTTGTGACTCATTTATTATAAGGAATATTGCAGTAATCAAAGTCATGGACCCACGACTAATATCGTTCGCAAGTAGTAGAAAATTTGTTTGAAAAGCCGGTGAGATCCATATGGACTTCATCGGTAATCGTAGCGCCAAACTCGTCTTTGAAGCAGATGTCCACGTATACTCCGTTAAAACTTTAACATGATAGTATAGTCTAAGATTCACCTCACCACCATGTGGTTAAGTCTGTTAGAACAGAAATTAAGGTGTCGGACAACAGTACGTAACTGTGGCCATCAGAAGTAGAACGCTCAGTAGTGGAGTAAGCAGTTTGTAAGGATATTCATCTTATACATTGGTATTCATATAACTAATTATGCCAATGCAAAGACGTTTGATGAACCTAACCCTAAGTTCTTAATATCAGTTAAAAAGAAACAGACATCCACTGGAAGTACATAAGGGGACTAAACGAATAAGGTTGCTGTGTTTTCACTTCCTTCGGTCATGTTTCTCTTGAAAACTGCCGTTTATTTTGAGGTGCATTTTTGAGTATCAAGTTAAAATCCTTCGTCAGTTTCAAATTCTTCTTTATTATCTTGTTGATTAAATCACAAGCAATTTTCAGCTTCACGGCAATAGTTTTTTTTTTTTGGGGGGGGGGTTGGAAAACTATTTTTGTAATGATTGTGTTGCTTAGGGTTATCTTGGAGTCCATATATAGTTTAGTCCTAAACGTTCTGTTCTATACTCCCCTTCAAAATGTTGTACTGTCGAATGGTTGGGAATTTTTCGTTGTTCATTGTCAGATATTTCGTGTTTGTTGCCATATGCCAATGTATGAGGAAAAACACACACAAAAAGTTCGTATAGTTTATGTTTAATCCTAAACTTTATGGTTATTTTACTTCGCTACAGGCTATTGAGGAATATCATATATATATACAACACAAACCTGTGTAGTGAAACACCTTAAGCTAATACAGTAGTAGATTAAAAAACAACAATTTGTAAGAAAAAAATGCATGCGTGTTTCGTCAATATCTTGGTCTGAAAATAATTATTGTAGGTATAGAAGGATTTGTTGTAGGACTAATACCAGTGAGTTTATTCAAGGTCATGTCCTTCGAAACGTTTATTAATAAAAATAATAAAATGTCAGCATTATACGGACAAGTAAGAACAGATGAAACATTTTGTACCAAAAATAGTTCCTCACGAACAACATTTATAAACTTAAAGACCACCACCCCTTCCACGCATGACAAATTGTCCCAGAGAAGGTAGAAATCCAAGCATAGCAAAGTTTGTTACACAAAACTAGGTTTAAGCAGCTAGGTCAGAATTTTGTATAAACGATCAGTAAACTTCTGAAGAGTCTATAAGTATAAAATATTTTAAAATGAAAATATCTACATAAGGCAGAACACGAGCAGTGTGCTATAGCTGCTTTCAGATCATCGAAATATTTGCACAGTTTAATATAGCCTTACTGTATGGAGAGTATCATAAGTACCCGGGCTGCTGCCAGATCATGTGGTGAATAGTTCCCAGATGAAAGCCATCCTTCACATCAGATGATAAGAGATGTGTGTCAGCGGGTGTTTACTATGGGCTCATTTACGCATAAACGCCATGCGGACAGACCTAGAACAGCAACCAATAGAGAGAGAGTAAAGCCGCCATATTGAAAATTGTCACATTTGGGCTTTGAACATAGACTTTGATTATATTCCGTAATACTGTTAGGATATTTACCTCTTTATCCATATAAATTCTGTTAGTCTTAATCGATTTTGTTAATTTTTAAATGCTTCATTTATTATTGTCTACATCTATTGGAGTGTGATTTATATTAATAAAAAGGACACGACCTTAAAGTGTTAAGGGGCAGACGGATCATTAAAAGATCTTCACCTGCAATATTGTTGTAGTCAGGAAAGAGTGTACGACTTTATTAGACCTGTTTATAGAATGGGTTAAGGGGCAGACAGATCATTAAACGATCTTCACCTGCAATATTGTTGTAGTCAGGAAAGAGTGTACGACTTTATTAGACCTGTTTATAGAATGTGTTAAGGGGCAGACAGATCATTAAACGATCTTCACCTGCAATATTGTTGTAGTCAGGAAAGAGTGTAGGACTTTATTAGACCTGTTTATGAGAATGTGTTAAGGGGCAGACAGATCATTAAAAGATCTTCACCTGCAATATTTTTATAGTCAGGAAAGAATGTAGGACTTTATTAGACCTGTTTGTGAGAATGTGTTAAGGGGCAGACAGATCATTAAAATATCTTCACCTGCAATATTGTTGTAGTCAGGAAAGAATGTAGGACTTTATTGGACCTGTTTGTGAGAATGTGTTAAGGGGCAGACAGATCATTAAAATATCTTCACCTGCAATATTGTTGTAGTCAGGAAAGAATGTAGGACTTTATTGGGACAACAATATTGCAGGTGAAGATATTTTAATGATCTGTCTGCCCCTTAACACATTCTCACAAACAGGTAGTCAGGAAAGAATGTAGGACTTTATTGGACCTGTTTGTGAGAATGTGTTAAGGGGCAGACAGATCATTAAAATATCTTCACCTGCAATACTCTCTTTTTAATTAATATTGCTCGGATAGAAGGAATAGTTTTCGATTTAGTTCATCGAGTTCGAAAGAAAAAATGTTTGCACATATAAAACTTATATAACATAAAAGTGACATCAACATTCCCTGCCTAGTATATAGGTCAGAAAGGCACTTTTCAAGAACTTAAATAGTTTAACGTAGCAAAGCAAAAGTGCACCATATTTTTACTGACATAGTTTTAATGCAATGACATTCTGATGTTCAGTAATAGCTCGGAATAAGTCCCATCTGTCAAATATCTACAACAGTAAAAATTAACAAAAGAACGTATACATGCTCTCTCGGATTTTAATACTATTAAAAATGAAATCAAGGTTTCAATGTACGAAAGTTTTAGAGCGATATTTTAAATGCATGTACAACAAGATTTTGAGCTAATGGAAACAAATGTTTACATGTCTCAAGCTCATAACTACTTAGATCTTTAAATTCGTTAAAATATTCAGTCCATTATCCCCATTCTATTTTTTGGAAAAAAAAAATGTGTTCCCGCAAATGTGATATTTATTAACTAGATGTGCTCCTGCAGGCTCCCTGAAAGTGTTCTGTTTCAAGAGTAAAAAAAAAAAAAATTAAGAGTAAGAAATATTCTTATTTCCTGCTTTTAAAGTTTATATATCATACTGCGTTGTAGCCTACAGAGTTCATAATTCTTATCGTTCATAGCATGCACACGTTTTACTAACGTCACGAAAATACACATTTCAACGTTAAGCATTTCTCAAGTGACGTCATTTAGTGTCTACTGACTGACTGACAGACAACACAATACTGTATAGTGGTGAGTGGTTAAAACAGATGACTCTTCCAGACGGTCTTCGGCTCCCTTTCGGGGAAATTAGTTTTAAGGATTCGTCATGACAATTTATACGGTCTATAAACAATTTATAAGGTAGGCCATCTTTATTTTTATATGTTATTGACAAATCCCAATATTCTATAGCTAACATTAGGCAAAAATTGTTATTGATGATGACGTGCCTTATCTTTCCCTCGAGTCAATCCATTCAAATTAGAGACGGCTTTGTACAGATATTTATTAAGTAGCTCTGCGCGAAAATGATAAAAACAAAAATATATTACATGTCGTAGAATTAACATTTCCCTGAAAAACCTAAATTTTATATGAGATAGAAAACTTCACCTATGCTCGTATCTAACTTAGAGCTATTACCACTAGGATACTAAAGGACAGTGTTTTTAAAATATATCGTTTCTGTTGCTCTCTGTGCTTTATTCTCAGCGAAAGAGAATTCGTAAAACATTTATAAAACTTTCGAGGTAGAAAATACAGTCTTTCTATAATGGCTCTAGTGAGAATATGGCAGTTTCACTTGCTTTAGTTATTGAATAAAAGTAACTTAACCTCGAGTAATATAACAACAGCAAATAGCTTTAATCTTTACAGGTTTCTTCTTATAGTGGTTATAAATGTTAACTACAGAAGAACACTATGTGCTTCACATTCACACGATGTTGGTGAAGCATACTGCAAAATAACTTTCAAATATATCTTAGAAAACATATAGAATACAAAGACGTTTCTACCAGTTCATTAACGTTTGTTTTAAACTAGATGTTTACATATATATAATACAATACAGTTTCTACCAGTTCATTAACGTTTGTTTTAAACTAGATGTTTACATATATATAATACAATACAGTTTCTACCAGTTCATTAACGTTTGTTTTAAACTAGATGTTTACATATATATAATACAATACAGTTTCTACCAGTTCATTAACGTTTGTTTTAAACTAGATTTTTACATATATATATAATACAATACAGTTTCTTCCAATACATTTAATATTTTATATGCTAAACATATAAGCCATACATTTCTCAGAAAAAGGCACAATTCATGATGATCAAACATGCATTCGAACACTTACAATTTAAGTCATAAAAGTGATTTTCACAGATCTTATGCATTAGACGAAGGTGTAGTTATCTAAGCTTAGATAAATAATTATTAATGTAAACCTGTTTAGTTTTGTACATTTCATTCTTAATCTAAAGAAACAGAATGCAGTTGAAATCCTCACAATAAAAATATATATTAGAGTTAGAATAAAAAAAATGCAAGTGGCCAGAATAAAATTGATATTATTTCATTACCAAATCTCCGGTACTGATAACAGAAATATACGTATATAAAACAGTTGTTAACAGTTAATAACGTGTGCATTGATCCTAAGTAAAGAAAATACATAAACAGTTATTTTTTGATAAAAATTAAATAATCAGTACATTAAAACTTACCAATAAGAAGTAGAAATAAAGCTACAATAACTCTGTAAAAAAGCTGTTCTGTATCCAAGGATGAAACCTTCTTATTTGGCAGAAAATGATGATCCCAAGTTTCCAACATTTTGTTTCAGCAGTATTACACAACAGCAAATATTTTGCAAAAAGCTTTAGCGGGAAAATTTAACGTGCAAAGTCTAGATATTGTCCCTAAAATCATTTTGAGCAGGACAAGGAATGTTTTGCCATGAAACTGTCGTTCGCACTACAAATCATCGATGAAGATAGAAACAGAACGACGTTTCGTTTCTCCACTCGCACGCAGCGATGCAATTCCTTCGAGTGTCGATAAGGTCTAGCTGAACCACTAGATTTCTACTTCCTAACGTCATCACTCAAAAAAGTCACGTGGCCATGAGAATCAGGATAATTTGTTTGGAGGATGATAAGAAACTAATATTTGGCCAAGAAGGTTTTATTTCAGTTATCTTTCCATTTAGTTCAATACTACTGCTTTCAGTATTTAAGCATCAATAATGAAAAACAAATTTATATTAAACAATTTTAATAATGGCTGGAGACGGCTTGAATGGGTAATGAAGAAAAACTGTAATATAAGTTTAACATAACAGCAAATGTACAACGTTTCGACAAGGTTTTGTACCTGATAATGGCTTATATAAGTAGTGTTCCGACCACTACTATGTTTGTTATATTTCATTGGTGTTGTAACAAATGGCTTATATAAGTAGTGTTCCGACCACTACTATGTTTGTTATATTTCATTGGTGTTGTAACAAATGGCTTATATAAGTAGTGTTCCGACCACTACTATGTTTGTTA